ATTTGCAGGTCTTTGTAGTTTGTGATTTTCTCTAGTTCTTTCTCTTCTCTTCTGCTGTCTCCAGGTATTGCAGTGTCTACTATCCAGACTTTTTTGTCTTTCTTATCAACAATTGTTCAGTCTGGGGTGTGGTGTGCCAGGTACTTATCTGTTTGAATTCAAAAGTCCCAGAGCACTTTAGCTTCACCATTTTCTATTACTTTATCTGTTTTGTGGTCCCAGGCCTCCCTTGGGTTCTAGGCCTCCCTTGGGCATGAAAGCCGGCTGGGTGACTTTGGGCCAGTCCTTCTGTCTCAGCCCAACCCACCTCACAGGGTTGTTGTTATGGGGAAAAATAGGAGGCAGGAGTATTAGATATGTTTGCCGCCTTGAGCTAGCCAAATATATATAAAAATATTCACTGTTTTAGAACAAAATTGCATGTGCTAGCCTGTACTTAGATTGTATCTCTGTGCTCCAGGATTGGGTGTTGTTCTGGGCTGAAAAGGCTGTGGGCCAATTAAGCTGAAGTACAGTATAATAAATCAGAAATGAAACCAGCTTAAACATATTGATAAATTCCATATTAATAGCAACTAACCCTAAAATAAAGTGAGTTCAGTGGAACTGTGTTTCAGTTTGAAGAATTAGATTGCAGAAATTGTAGGATCTTGTCAGGTGTTTGTGTCATAGGAATTGTTTATTCCATGCAAACCAAACACACCTGTGTAACTGAATTAAAAGTCAGAGAAGCAGAGTTTAGGCTTGTAGACTGGAATTATAGCTAAGTGACAGAGCACCATCTTGTGGATAAAACACTTCTGACAGCCTTTTCAAAACCAAGTTGATACAACAAATAGGTTCAGTTCAGGCTAACACTAATGTTTTCTTCTAGGGTTATGCAAGTACTTTGAAAGATGGGTTTTGCTTTTTTTCCACACATGGAGGCAGCTGGGAGCAGTTCCCAAAGCAGCTGCATATTCCTGGAAAAAAGACAAGGCTGCTTTAATGGTCTGAAAAGAGGTGCTTCATACATGTTTTCACATGATGCTCCAAAGCACCTTTTTCAAAGGATTTGCACAACCCTAATATTGTAGCTGTGACTACAAGAGCAACTTTTGAACAAGTGGAAAGGCTGAATGCTCGACAGACAAAAAAGTTGTGACACAGAGCGGTTGATTTGGTGGGTAGAAGGGGGAGAGAAAGCAGATCATCATTTTTTTCTCACTCAGAAATTGTTTTTTGAGATAGCCCCTGGAATTCTAAGGCTTTAATGCTGATTATATCTGGTTGCATTCAGTAGCTCTATAATGAAACAAATTCTAAGAATATTTTTTCAAAAAGTAGATATATTTCTCTCTCCGGCATTCTATGTGTGTTTCATTCAAAAAATGAGATGGGAATGCCAAGCTGTTACAAAAAAAGGTGTCTGAATCCTGGGAAAGTAGGAAATGTGAGAAGGTAACTCAAAACAACTCTGCCTTGAGAGGTTTTAACAGGCTTTCAAGATTCTGTTACAATACCTTAGACCCACTGAAGTACGTTCCATGAATCCTAGAAATTCTGTTTCCTGACCTTGCCTACCTCGAAAGGCTAACGCGTGTCTTGCAATAGTTTTCATTGGCAGGCATAGTTGCAGCTAAGTTGGTTAGGGCCAAAGCTATCAACTAACAAATTATTAGGAAATGGGCGAGGCAACCAAAATATAATCACATTGCGGAAATTCCCAAGAAAAACAACACTCGTCTTGCATAGTTAAGCAAAAACAATCATCAGTAGCACCTTTGTGCAAGCATTGTGAAGTTGAGAACCAGAAGTCTATCTGGTGGGTAAGAAATTCTTCCATAGGTGCCTTGGTTAATCAACAGCTAACAGACTTGATAAAATAAAGGTGAAGAAGAAAACGGTGTTGCAAGGCAAATGAAGGCTCTATTATAGGGAAAGTGCCGTAAAGAATTGGCCTGAATAAAATGGCCACAGATTATTATTTTTAAAAGTTAGGTATAGTTTAGGCTGAGATTACATATGCAGTTGAAAACTGGATGGAGAAATGAAGCTTTGATCTGAGAATGAAGCCATGATGTAGCAGGTGAGGTACCTCAGCATTCCAAAACACGAATACCATCAGCTTTTGAATTCACTTCTGTCCGTTTTGACTCTACACCAGTTATGCATTTAAATTTTCTGTGATGTAGAGCTCTGTGGCTGCAAGGCAGAAGCATAACTGGCATTCAGGGAAACAGTGGTAGCTCTAAAAATAAAATATGCATAAATGGATACATCCGTATCAGGAGAATGACTTCCTGATTAATTCTGAAGCCCTTTTGTTTTATCTTCCATTATGGGGAAGAATAGAGAACAATTAAGAAAAGTATGTGTCCTAAACTAGTTTTTAAAGAGAGGCTATTAGCACAAGCAATGTTTGTGATCTTTTATTAATGCATGATGATATATATCATTTTGTTCACCGTTTGCACATCAGTCTTATTTCTGTATAAAAGTTAAATGCTTACCCAGTAAAAATGAAGTATTTCTGAAAGAAATGTGCCACTTTTGTAGACTGATGTTACATATTTAATAAAAGAAAAGTATGGACTGGAACTCTAAAATCAAACATACGGTATATTAAATTTCTACATATATTGATGAAAATACTTGTACAAAAAGCAAAGAATCTTAAGTAATCATTACATCACAAACTAAATACGAGGATCTGATATAATTTCCAGTTAGATTTATTGGTAGAAGGTAGATTTAAGAATCTGAGAAGTTACCACACAGAAAAAGACAAAATTGTAAGAAAAGAATAAGCAAGGGAATGGACAATAAATCTTTATAAACAGCTAATTTTTTGAAAGGAATAAATACTTCTCACACATGGCTGTTATGAAAAGAAATAATAAAAAGGATAAGCTTTCTATGACAGACTTCCTCTTTAACATTTTATAGCTTCATGATTGTCAGAAATTCAGCAGATGAAACATTTCTGCCCTCTGTGCCTCCATGCCAGGAAAAGATTAATGTGTTTAATTTCTGCCAGCCTCTGCAGTTGGTAAAGGCCCTTTTGGGGTGGGGGGATATGGAGGAATGATTTTGCAGGATCAGTTGCTATGTAGTCTTCTGTGTCAATAAACATGGCTTTGGAATTTCAATAAAAGTTGAAAGTGATCGGTACAAAAGACCAGACCAGCATGATTAGCTTAAAATAATGGGGTTTGATCAATATTGGCATCTCTGGGTCTCTGAGTTCAAACCACAAACTACAGAGCCTAACTCTGGATTTCCAAATTATCTGCAATCTCTCCACCATATCAGGATTCAAGGTCTGAATTCTTAAACATCAGCAAATTGCACACCTCTGTATTTTGAGCCTTGTGGACTTTAGAACTGATAGTGCAAAACACAGTGGCTGATTACACAACTCACACTAAGCTCTATGATTGTTTAATTCTGATTTATTGAACAAATCAGTTGGATGAGTTCACACACCCTGTTATGGCTTAGCATGATGTGTGAACTTAAGTACTGTGTGTGTGTGTGTGTGTGTGTGTGTAATTTTTTTATCCCACCTTTATTATTTTTAAAAATCAGGCAGTAAACATACCTAATATTCCTTCCTCCTGTTTTCCCCACAACAACAACCCTGTGAGGTGACTTGGGCTAGGAGAGAGTGACTGGCCCAAAGTCACCCAGCCGGCTTTCATGCCTAAGGCAGGACTAGAATTCAGTCTCCTGCTTTGTAGCCTGGTGCCTTCACCACTAGACCAAACTGGCTCTCAAAATAAATTATTATTTGCTTAATAATTTGTCCAAGTTAACAGAACATCTTCTAGCAAGGCCAAAAGCAGGCAGGCAGGCAGGAGTTGTGCAACTTTAAGTCATGGGGAGGGGGCTCCCGCAAAGCACTATTTGAGTTTGGTTGGATGAAATATGCTTAACATCTTCACTAATAACTTGGAAGTTATTTAGAAACAATTAAAGAGAAGGGAGGGGAAGGGAAGCAAATGCCTTGTTGACTGTAATACTGTAACAATAAGCATACAACACCAGCAGATTCCACAGAGTGCAAACAAAAAGTGATTTCCAACCGGCTACATGACATCTAAATCCCCAACACAACACACACACACACACACTTACAAGGTGTTTGAGAGTAGAAACTGGGAATAGGTTGGGATGGACATGAAGGAACTTTGAATGAATGTGGCATGGCATTTGAATGTGAGAAAGAGTAAAGCGCAGGCTTTATGCGGGGGAGGGGGTAAAGAGAGAGAGACTGCCACAATGAAAAACAATCAAACTCCAGTTGGAAACTCCCTGGGTTAAAGAGCAGGAAATCTTCATGCCAGGAGAAACCAGTGCTTTTTCCCCCTCCTCCCTCTTATTTGCAGTGGAACGGCAATATTTGCCTAAGCACTTGAGTGCACACGCACACGCACGCACACAGACATTTTTAATATCACTTAAACAAGGACACCCAACAACCAAATAGATACTCAATGGAAGTTATCTATTCCAAAAAAACCAAAAAACAAAAGCGAATCCACTCCCTTTCTCTCTTATGCAATAGTGCAAGACTGAAAGCTCTTCTGCAACACAATAAAAAATGTAGATGAGCTGTTACTCCAAGTTGCAGAGTACTCTGGCCTCTGATTGTGAAGTGTCATCTTTTGGCAAGAAATGGAAGAGATGCAGGAGGCACTGCGCTGCCTCGAGTAGCGTGGAAGCTCAGCCACAGGAGCCAGTGGGATGCCTCACAGGAAGAAGATCCAGAAAAGCCATGTTTTTAAAAAAAATTTTATTTATCGAGAGGAAGAAAGAAAAAAAAAGATCGAAAGTGCTTTAACAAAAAAGTGGAAGAAATACAACAGCAAAAAAAACATGTTAATAAGGCATTATATCAGTAAATAATTATAATTCTATATATACTTATCTAATGCAAATATTATTCAAGTATATATATATATTTCTAATAGAGTTATATGACTATCCTGTTTTTTTCTTGTAACCCAGTATATTTTGTATAAATGAGTCCCATATTTCATTAACCTTGTCCATACAAAGTCTACGTCTATGGGCAATCTGCTCGTGGGTGGCAAGTGCAATCAGGTTTTCCATCCACTGAGTGAAGGGGGCCACACATTTATCTTTCCAGTGCTGCAATAGTAAGGGCACAGTAAGGGCACAGTAACGGCATAGTAAGGGCACAGAGAATCCATCAGCAAAACTTGGTTAACATGAACCAGACAAGTCCAGTTAGATAAAACCCCTGAGTTTAGAGGAAGATTCCATCCCATTGCCACTATTCAAATAAGATTCGGCTTCTGTACATGGAAATGGGTGGACAGGGGCACCATCTTGTCCTTCATTTGTGAGTCAGCTCTAAATATTACACAACAGCCTTCTTGTCAAGGGACAAGAAGGGTGATCAAACCCATCAACGTGTTAGTCAATGCACTGTTGCCCTTCCCCCTCTTCTCTACTGCCTCCTCTTCTGTGATAACACATATGTGGATAGAAGACATGCAAAAGCCACAATAGTTAGCAGAGATGCAGCACATTTTCATGTCTGTCTTTTCTTCCACTCATTTAAGCAAGACAGCAAGCACAGCTGAAGTTCCATTAAACTGACAGGTATGCTGTAGTTTACAAAAGATAACTGTAGGATCCTTCTGGGATGTTAGCACTCATTGCTGGTGTTATTATGTTATATATAATGTTATATGTAATGTAATGCAAACATTAGCACAATTGCTGAAGTGACTGGACAAGATGAGAAGCAATGCGTTTTGATTCCATGGCAGCATTCACGTTCACAGACACTCCTGCTTTTCCTCTCTCTTCGGCAGGACTCAGTATCTGCCTCTTGATGGCATTTCTAGCCACTGATTATTAAGAGATAAACAACAAAAAAGGGAATTTTAAGTTAGCTAGGAGAACATGAGCCATATCTTGGCCTTATTATAGTTATTACAAATTCTTGATTTTTTCATATCTCAGTTGTTTGAAAATAATGCCCTAAATTGCTCATGGACTCTTCCAAGCAAAGAGATTTTAGACAGAATTAAACAATGTTATACTGCAATGTTAGTTGCCTGAACTTCATCGTCCAATGCTGCTAGTTCTCTAAATTTCATGGATAAATGTCCCCGGTTAAGAGTAGCTACAGCTGGTGAGAAAGTACTCTATTAAGGCTGCATATTTTTGCAGGGGAAAGGGGAAACCCAGAGCTGAATTTAGACTGAGTGTCATATTAGGACCTACTGTACGTAAGCGGCTCTGGACAAAAATTACATCTTGATTTAATTTAGTTGGATTAAAATTAAAAGAATACAAAAGAAGTTAATTTAGAATTAAATTATTACTGTGGCTATTGATTCCTGTGATGGGTGAAGGGTTTGGACTAGAGCAGTGTCTCCCAACCTTGACAATTTTAATGTGTGGATTTCAACTCCCAGAATTCCCCTAAGTCCACACATGTTAAAATTGTCATGGCTGGAAAACACTGGACTAGAGGATCTTCAGGCTTTCTTCCAAGTTGTACATTCAGTGATTCTATCAATAGAGCAAATAGGTTTTCCCCCCCATTATTTAATAACAATTCCCATTTGTGTTGCAACTTCTGGAGCAATGTTGGAAACAGCATTCCAGACTTGTGGGGTGGGAACTAAGGCTTTTAAAGTCCTCCTGCAGGCCAAGGGTCTCAGGTTCTGCACCTCTGCAATTCAATAAGCCAACCAGAGAATTTGGTTACTTTAAGGAAACCAGCCATTTAGCATCTGGGGCATTGATTTCCAGATACAGATGCTATCCCTGTTCAAGGCATTCAGAGAACAACACAGTCTGAGTTTCATGATGCTCTCTAGCCACTGAGCACAACATGAATTCAAGTGAGGGTCTTTGGCTACTGCTCAGAGCCCAAGGACTGCACTGTCAGTGGTAGCTCAACAGATCAAGGACCCAGGAATGTGTGACAGACAGAATGTGCATGGAGATGGCCAAAGTGGCTATCTTGTAAAATAAACATACTTTGCATTTCTTGAAAAGGTTGGAATCTGATTTATCTCACCCTGCAGATTTTCATATCACTGCAAAGGTAGGAACCAGATTTTTTTGGAAATAAATGCTGCCTGCTTGAGAAAAATTTGGAGCAACCTATACGTTCATTTTATATATATTTGATATCAGCCACATTCATGTTTTAACTTCTCCTGAAGCAGCCACTCACGTTATCATTGCCATAGTCTCGCTCAGGAAGGTAGCCTCTATTTGCTGCTCCTCCTTCGTGGAAATTGGTTGGGTTGTTAGCAGTGGTTCTGCTCGATGGTGTATCATTCATAGCCTGGACTCTGGGGAAGATTTTCTCATTTCCAGCAGGGTTTGTGGCAGGAGGAATTCCAGAAGTATTGCCTATGGTTGAATACTCATTGCTTATCAAGTGCTGATTTTCAGCTTTATGGCCCTTTTTCCTTTTATACAAAAAGAAAGGATAATCTCAATGACAATCACAATGTATCTTCACTTTTTAGACTCATCTTGGTTTTTTCTTCTGAACAACCCCCCCTGGAGCTTTGCAAAAATTGTGACAGAGGTGATGAAGCTAACTATTAATATCAATTTGATTTGTAAACTCAACATTTATAAGCATGTGCCCTGTAAAGGGGAATTTTGGATTTAAATCATTTTGGTAAAATGACATTTCATAAACCCAAGTAATCATGTTAGTTTTGACCACTTTTGCTTGCCATTTTTACCACTTTTTCCAGCCCTACAATATTCTTTTTGAGTTGAGATCACCAGAATCCTACGTTCATCAAGATGCTCGATGTTACAATATTATTGATTACAGTATTTCATTATTTCTCTTTATATCAGCCTTGGGGCACCCAAGACAAGTAGACTTCTACAATAAAATTATAACACATTAAAATTCTTTTTATTCTAAATAATAATGAAGGGGACCCCAATATGAAATTCACTTTTTCAGAACAGTATTGCACTGTCTTGCAATGTCTTGCCTGCCAAAGTCTGTTTTCTGTTCTGTCACCTGCTCAGGCTGTTTTAGCATATCTGTGGTTACAAATTTTTGTGCTAATGTGCCTCAATGTGTGCTGTTGAACTTAACTTGCCGTTTTAATGCTCATTCTCCTTCTCTCAATTTGAATAATCCTTTTGTATCTCTTTGCTATCCTTTCCAATTGAATGCTGTTGGCAAATCTGGCTACTTTACTGCTCAACTCTAACTACTTTTATGAATAACTGAAAACGATTAGACCCAGTTAAGAGCCCTGGGAGACCCCTCTGTTTTCATCCTTTCCATGGAAGAACTGACTGTTTCTAATCTGCTTTTTGTTTTTCATCAGTTACTGTTTAATAGAAAAAGTATTCTCTTATCCCGTGACTGCTGCACTGAACAGCTGGGAATGTTGGAAAGGATAACTGGACAACTAGTGGAAACTCAGGGACAAACGTAGTCCTTTCTAAAACACTAACTGTAACTAATTGTGCATGTTTTAAATGTTTTATGTATAGCTTCTTTATTTTATCCTTTAATCCAGGTGGGCAATGTCCACCACTCCCATTTTTATGGCTCATGAACTCTGATGGACTGG